TTTATTCAGTAGCCAAATCGCTCACTCAGAACTTTAATACCAGTAGCTCACAGAGTATAATTTTTGCTCACAAGACTCCACAGTTTAGAGGGAACATTGGTAGCAGGAACAAGACTGGAATGACATGGTCCCCACAATCCATTACAGTCAGCATTCTGGCCACAGCATTTTGTACCAACTTTAACTTCCAGACAGTCTTCAAGGGCAGCATCATGTACATTGCCCTGCGGTAATTAACGTAGCTATTACCAGGGCATGCACCACAGTGGCAAGATCTTTTCTATCCAAGAATGGCCACAGCTTGCTCACCAGACAAAGCTGGTGAAAGTCACCCCTAGCCAGCACTGTCACCTGTTTATCCAACAGGAGGCTTCTGTCCAGGCCAGTGTTCCCTCTAAGCTGAGTTAGTATGAGCTAGCTCACAGTTTTTTTAGCCTCCGGCTCACACATTTTTGTCTTAGCTCAGGAAGGATGGCTCCAGAGCAAACTAATTTATGCAGTAGCCAAATCGCTCGCTCACAACTTTAATGCCAGTAGCTTATAAAGTAGAATTTTTGCTCAGAAGACTCCACAGCTTAGAGGGAACATTGATCCAGGCAGACCTCTAAGCTACAAACCTGTTCCTTTAGGGGGAGTGCAACCCCCATCCAAAACAGGAGATATCCCAATTCTTGGGTGAAACTTTCCCCCTCCCAGTAGCACCTCCATGTTGTCGGGATTAAGTTTTTGTTTGCTAGCCCTCATCCATCCCAAAACTGCCTCCAGGTACCTTTTTATGGTTTCTACAGCCACCCTGGGATCCTACTGGCAGTGGCAGATAGAGCTGAGTGTCATCCGCATATTGCTAGCAACTCAGACCAAATCTCTGGATGACCTCTCCCAGTGGCTTTATGTAGAAGTTAAAAAGCATGGGGGACAGTGTGAAACCTTATAGGAACCCATAGACTAGAGGCCACGGGGTAGAGCAGCAGGTACCCAGTACAACACTCTGAAATCTAACCTTTGAGGTAAGACCAAAATCACCGCAGGACAGCTCTTCCCTGTCCCAATTCCAAAAGGCGGTCCAGAAGAATACTATGATTGATGGTATGAAAAGCCACCAAGAGGTCCAGGAGAATTAATCAGGTCACCTTCTCCCCATGCAAGTCACCCACCAGGGCAAACCAGGCCATTTCAGTCCCATAACCAGGCCTTGGTTGTTACCGATCCAGATAATCTGCTTAATTTAGGAATCCCTGAAGTTGCCCAGCTGCCCCTCATTCAATCACCTTGCTCAAGAATGGTACATCTGTGACTTGATGGTGGTTCTTCAGGTCTCCTAGGTCCAGAAAAGGTCTCTTTAGGAGCAAACATACCACTGCCTACTTCAAGGCAAAAGTAACCACTCCCCCTCTCAGGGAAGCATCTGCTATTTCCTGGACCCAGTCCACCAGCCCTCCCCAGTCCCTGGCCAGATTTAAGCAGCCAGGATGGGCAAGGTTCATACAAGCAGGTGGTACATCTCACATTTCCAAAAATCCTGTCTATATCCTCAGACTGAAGAAGCTGAATGGTACCCCACACAACTGGGCAAATCAGTGCGCTGGGACTTTCCGATCCTGTTGCTGGTAACGCACAGTCCAAATCGGAAAAGATGTGATAGATTTCAACTGGAAAGTGTTAAGCAAAATGACTGCATCAGACTGCAGAGTAATCTATGTCCTCTTGTAGGCTGGAACGCAACAGACTGCTGACCACCCAGAAGAGGTCAGCAGGTTTACACTGTGCAGATGCAACAGTGGTGGAGCAATGCTGGTTTTTCACTGCCATTACCCACACAGAGTGGGCTCTCGCCCATGTCTTGCTGGGTTTGTCCTGAGTCTTCCTTCACAGTCGTTCTAGCCATCTCCCTTTCTACCATTCTATCACAGCTGTCCCTTTCAATGGCATGTAGGAATTGGGCATACCAACACAGCTCATCCTCTGAACAGCTGGAGTTCAAGGGTCAGTATGTGTGTTCGTTTTGTAAACAGACAGGAGGGCAGGTCAAATGTACACCTTTCTGAAAACTCAAGACTGTACAACATCTCACAACAAAATTTCATTGCAGGAATTGTTAACGCGATGCACAAGCATGCCTACAATGATACCAATGTTACAAAATTCTAAAAAATACACAGAAAACAGCATTTACCATAATGGACTCCTTGCAAAATAGCTTAAAAAACCCTTGAATGTTGAAAAGAAATACTAAAACTGTGAATACCCAGGAACAAAATTTAACTTACTTCTGAGCAGGCACACTTAGAGCTGCTCAACATGTGACTTCAAACTCATGTTCCATTACAGGTGAAATGATATTGCAACTGACTATAATTAAAAGCTCAATGTTCCTATCCACTGCCAGTTCAAAAAAAGCAGCTGGAGAAACGTCATTCAGTACCAGTCTCATCCCAAGTGAACAGGAAGCTGGTTCAATAATATCTTCTCCTGATTCATGGGATAATTTATCTCCAAGAGTCAACAGGACTTGTGTGTCCTCAAAAACAGAAGTCTAGTGGTACCTGATTGACAAGCTCTCAATAAGAAAAGGTGTGGTGGGATAGTGGCACTACTGGGAAACTAATTTTATTGATCTTTTCTGTATTTTAATTGGATTTTCCTTGTGCGTTACTGGCTTTTAATGGACTTAATTGTAATTTATTGTGCTGTAAGCTGTCTTGGGGACTTTAACTTGAAAAGCAGGCTGTAAATAGGATAACAAAATAGACAGAGTAACAAGATATTACTGCAGCACAAGCATTCAGAATCTGGAACCCATTTTGACTAACTGGGCTCCAGTTCCTGAAAGTTGATGCTGGAATAAAAGCCTTGTCAGTGTTTAAGATGCTGCTAGACTCCTGTGACCACAGTTGCTGCAAACTTTTCACAAGGATGAGAAATAAAATCTCAGGACTTCTGAGGCTCTGTTGGTAAATTCTATTCTATGAATATTGCAATTCTGAGAGCACCGCTCTGCTTTTCAGGTAGGTTTTCCAGCATGGCCAGTAGGGAGAGAGCTGGTCTGCAGAGATCCGCATTTCCCAGACAGCTGATGGCTGTGTTGACCTTCTGCCCCCCCCCCAAATAAATTTAGAGGCAGGAATTTTTCTATTTGTCTTTCAAATTGATATGTACAGGTCGATGACTGTAATAATAAACTTACTGACTGAGGCACATTGCACTCTTGCAGTCAGATTTCTAGAGAATGGAAAAAATCCCCCACCCATAGGAAACTCACCTGGTGTTTTTTTTTGCATGTCACTGATCAGAGCTTGGAGAAAGCGCAACCATCAGCCCTGGTCCAAATCTCAATTCGGTCATGAATCTCACCCAGCGGCCCTTTAGCAATCACTACCTGTCAGCCTAGCCTACCTCAAAGCCAATGTGACACATGACTGCATAGAACTGTCAAGCAGGAATTGACTGGAAGGAGGCAAGGCCAGAACAGTGACTCAATCAGGGATTCTGAGGACAGCCTCTGAGATGAGAACTAGCACCCTAAAGAGCTCTCAGTCGTTCAATCCATCTAGTTACTGCTGGCACTGGAGGGCGGCAGTTCTTTTCAGGCACAGTTTCAGAATTAGATCGATGTGATCTAATAACTAATTTATGTGAATCCCCCGCCGAAAATGCTCCCGCAGAGACATCAGGACTATATGCTGGCTGCCCATACGGGCACGTAGCACGACCATCAGTTTGAGAGCAAATGGGACAGGCGCCTGGTTCGAGGATGGTACAGCGAGCTCCAATTATAGCTGTTCTCCTTTGAACTCGCGTCCGCCCTGGGCGCAAGGGCAGGGGCAATTAGCAGCTCACCAGGCCGCCAAAGGAGCCGCAGTTCAGAGGACTCCTTATCGACGCGACCTAATCAGGCTAGTGGGGTGAGAAAGGGAGATGCTGCTGCTGCTGCTGCTGCTGCTCCTTGTGTCTGGGAGCCCTTTGAGAGAGATGGTTATGCATCCTGCCCAGCGACCACCCTTTGGAAAATCTTAGTAGGAAACGGCGCACGTAGGTTTGGGATGAGTAAGAGGGCTGGCGGGTCAGTCGTGCCCTTCAACACACACACACCCCTCCGATGCCGCTGGGCAACCTGTCCCCACTATAATTTGCAATTAACGCAATGACTGTCTCTCGCCTGGCTTCTAAATATCCCATCAAAGAGTCATTAGAAATGTCCCACTCCCATTGGCCCGCCTCTTTTGATGTGGAAATGCCTGTCCCTTTGTGTGACTTCTGCGCTCTCGCCGGAGATAAGGGTGGAAATGGTTGGATGGGAAACATCAAGAAACCTTCAGATGTTGACAGTTCGCAGCCTAGTTAGCTTATCGCGCGCTTTAAACGGCAGACGTGTTTGCTTAAAAGAAACCGTGCGTGCAAAAAGCCCCCACGCCCAGTTCTGTGGAAACTTCCAGCGCGGCGCAATCCACAAATCCTTTGACATCAAAACGAGCCCACTGAAATAAGATATATTGCTGCAGAGTTTATGTGGATTGCAGTCGACGGGGCAACAGTCTCTTGAAGAAACGTATGCGCCTTTGCTTTAATCAAATCAAGCCGGATCGCTAGCCGTCCGTCCATCCATTCATGCGTTCTGCTGCATTGAGAAATCCGTCACCGACGCCGGTTGGGATAATCATCCAATGAGCGAGTCCCCTTGCGGGGGTGCATCGTGGCATTCTCCCCCTCCCTCCGCCCGTGATCCCTTTGAAATCCCATCCTTGGCCATGCTGCCTGCCCTCCTCCCCGAGGGGCGGGAATAGCAAAGGTCCCCGGGGAGTATAAAGCCGGCGCAGCCAACCGGTCTAAGATCTGTTGTAGTTGCCACTAGCTGCAAGAGGTATATTTTGTCTGGGAATTAACGCTGGTTTCTTGCAAGCGGGGCTGTTTCTTTTTTTTCTTCCCCTTTTTGGCTGTTATCCTTTTTAAACTTGGCTCGGATTCGAACCCGTGACCGTCGCTCCTCTCCCCAGCAAGCAAAGATGTTACAAGCGGAAAGGTCCTCTGGGCGACTTGTGATCCTGGCGGCCGCCCTGTACTTTTCCAGGGCGGCGGCGAGCGCCGCTTTCAGCGCGAACCTGCTCCACTCCAACGCCATCAAGAACTTGCCGGCAGGAGGCGCTGTGGCGGCCGCGGGCTCCCCCGCTAGTGCAGCGCCCGGCGACTCTGGGCTGCGCGACGCAGGCAACAAGCACCTAGCCGTCGATGCGCCCCAGGTACGTAGCTGGCGGGGAAGGCTGCGGGCCTTTCTCCCTCCCCCCTTCCCCGACGCCCGGCTCCTTGTTCACCCGCGCTCTTCTCCCTTTCCCTCCCCTGCAGCCTTCCGTGTGCGGCGGGGACGAGGACTGCAAGGCCGACGAGTTCTGCTCCGTCTCAGGCCGCGGCGGCCTCCACGGAAACCAAGTCTGCCTCGCCTGTCGGAGACGCCGCAAGCGCTGCCTCCGCGACGCCATGTGCTGCCCGGGCAATCAGTGCAATAACGGTGAGTGGGGGGAGGCCGGGAAATGCACCCTCCCTCGGGGGAGGTGGGAGGTCACGCAGATCTCGTCGCACCCCCCATCCCCCATCCCCCATCTGCCGCCTTGGATCCGCCGTCCAGCAATGGGAGAGCTCCAGCAGGCGAGAGCGTTTCCATCGCTTCTCCGTTGGAAGCTTTTCCTGTGGGACAATTAGATTCGAATCCAGGAGCACCTGAGAGGCGAGCATGTTGGACTGGGAATATCCAAGTTCAAATCCACCCCCTTCCCCTTCTGTGAAACTTACTGGGAGAACTTGGGCCTGTTGCGGTTTCTTATCCTAACTTACCCCACAGGGTTATTTCAGGGATAAAATGGAGGAGGTCAGAATAACCACGTTTTATTGCCCTCGAAGGAATGCTGGGGTTAAAAATCCCCTAAACAGATTTATAGAGGTTAATGTTACTGGGGAGCCTTGCCCTTGTTGATGACTTCTGCAGTAAGTTACTGCAGTAAGTTAAAGACATCCTGTGGGTGTACACCAAGTGTCAGAGAAACATGGACACAGGGCTGGATGAAGGCCAACTGGTTCCCTAAGCACTGCCCAACAGCGGTGCCCCTTCAGCCCTTCCATGGCTTAACTGACGAGACATTAAGACTCAGTAAGTGCTGGAGGTGAAATAAGAGATTTTTTTAAAAATCAGTTTTCTTCCAGGCCAGACCCCACAACTATATTAAATATAAACTTCTTTCTAAAAATTATTTATTGAACACTAAATAGCAGTGTGTGGCAGTGAAAGAGTAAAAGGCTTGATAGCTAGGAGGGAAAACTCCGTGGTGGCCACCTTCTCTTGGTTCCGAGAGCACATGCTTATTTTGCTTCATAGTTAATCCAGGGCTGCATGGACAGTAAAACTCTGAAAGGACAGCAAGAAGGTTGCCCTATCGCACACCCCTGGCTCTGGTTTCTTGCCTTTTAATAACAGTTCAAATGAGGATTCAGATAATTGAAGAGCAGATATCCCCAGACACTGTAACTAACTAAAGAAGCAGCACTGATTGGTCTGAAATTTTAGGGTGGTTTTAGGGAACTAGGATGGTTGAATGTGTTCTAAGTGGGTAGATGGTGCTTTGTTTGCTTTTATGAATTGAATCATCTTTTCCAGCAGCGACGATATGCTGTATTTGCCCATATGCTATCAGACTTCCCACTTTGACCTGAGCTGTCAGTAGGTGTTCATAGAGTTCGTGTGATTTAAATCTTGATAGATATTTTTTTCTGTTTAGGAATGTGTATGCCATCAGAACATGGTCACTTCCACCCTGGGGATATCGAGGAGACCGTGCTAGAGAACTTTGACCATGGCACTTTAGACTCCCATCCCAAAAGGACCACGTCTTCATCACAGCTACACTATCTGAAAGGTAAAGGTGCTGTTGGTGAGCAGCTGTGGTGGGATATCTTAATGAGATTTTCAGAAACATCATGAGGGTCATAGATCTTGGGTGATGAGGGTTAAACCGGTATGGATAGGGTCTGACTTCTGCAGCTAGGGCAACTTCAACTGTTTGTTGCAAATGATAGATTTCTAGAGACTGGCATGACTTGTTATAATCCAGTGATAACGACAGAGGTGTTCTTTACATATGGTTAGATCTATCCTCATATGGTTATTTCTGTAGCGACAGTTTTTTGCTTTAAATGGGCGTGTTCTCCTGTTCTTAAGTTTCTTTGTGTGTTTTTAAATCAGTGCTCATGTCAGCGACACCTGGAGACCCATTTTATGAAACGTGTTCTTCCAGGAAGGCTGTCCTTGCAATGGAAGCCGGTAGACATGTGATCTCACACTGAAATGAGAGGGGCCAACAATAGTTCTGAGTAGCAGAATTGGCAAAATATCCTTGCTTACTTAGTCCACTAGCTTTTAAAACACTTCCCAAAATTGCATGTCTGTCATAGAGCTCTTGCAGAGGATTCTGTGGCATTTTTGAAGTTGCACTCCCTGTGCGTGCAAAGCACCGGCCAGACTTCGTCCGGCTTGAACAGGATATATGTCTTTTTAAAAACACAGACACTGCAGAGGAAGGCCAGTCATGATGATAAACTGGTTTCTGGGAAAGCTAAGAAATCCCTGGCTAAGCTTCCAGGGAATCAGCAGTGTTCCACGAAGGCCTGCTCTCTTAGCTCTTTCAGTGGTATGGCTCAAGGAAAAAAAGGGGGGATTGTGGGTAAGTGAGGGTACAGGATTCTCAACTCTTCTCCACTCCCTTCTTCCTCAAGGCCAAGAAGGTGCCGTCTGCCTTCGCTCCTCGGATTGTGCCTCGGGGCTGTGCTGTGCTCGCCACTTCTGGTCCAAGATTTGCAAACCCGTCCTTCAGGAAGGCCAAGTGTGCACAAAACACCGAAAGAAAGGGTCTCACGGTTTGGAGATCTTCCAGCGATGTTACTGTGCGGATGGGCTGACGTGTCGGCTACAGAAAGACCACAGCAACACTTCCAGACTGCACACCTGCCAAAGGCACTAGCTGCCGCTTTCTGAGAAAACCTGATGGACTTGATAGACTTTCTAATGAGGTGTGGGGACACTCCTATTCTTCTGGAAGATCACCTTCCAAAGACTGACTGACACATTTCAGAGTTTACATTTAAAATTACTCTGGCAACTCTCCCTTCCCGGAGCTGGAGTGAAGAGGCTTGTTTCTTTAGGGAACTATTTTTTTCCAAGTGACTAATTTACAGTAAATTACTGTGTCTGTAAATTCTTGGGTGCGGCACTTTCTGTACATCGTCAGGGATTTCAATTTTTTTTTGTTCCTTGAATGCTGCGTGATTCGTCCATTGTGACATGTTTTGTACACACTGGTTTCTGTTATATTTGCTAAGTGAAATAAATGATTTCTCAGTATAGTGGGTAACTTGCTGATGCTTCTGTTCCTCGCGTTGGTGCAGTTGGTGACATTATGGGTGGATGACCAGACCCTGGCTGTATAAAACGATCTTGTGCTGCGTTCAGAGACCATTTCTGCAGTAGTAAAATTCCTCGCATTGATATTTTAGAATCTCTGCGTTGTGTGAAGTTTTCCACAGTAGATTGTTCCTCACCAGGCGCAAACCCAAAGTTTTCTCCTTCTTACCTCGCATCTTCAGAATCCCCAGTTTTAGCAAGTTCCAAAAATGCGTGGTAAGAAGAAGAAAATTTCGGGTTTGCACCTGGTGAGGAACAATCTACTGTGGAAGATTTCACACAACGCACAGTTTTTAAAACGGCAATGTGGGGAATTTCACTACTGCAGAAATGGTCAGAGAGCAACTAGTAGGAGATGAACTGCTGTGCAGGCGGATAGTCATGGGCTACAAGAAAGATCATAGATAGTTTGCTCCTAGTATTGGGAGGTGCTCAGGAAGCTTTGGAGTGTCATGTTGTGATGATATGCTGTGTTGGGACTTGTGGGAAGATAGGTTCCTGAGAGTCCACCAGGTTGATGGGATTTGAGTGCCAGCATAGCCCCTTGTGTGGTTGCTATTTACAGGTTCTCGTAGCAAGCTGAGGGGGCTCCCAGCAAAAAAGGTTTCTTCTCACACACTCCCACACACCATTTCGGTTGTGTGGTATTGCCTCAAGAGTGTATGAAGCTACTATCTTAATATGTTTCTTTCCATGCTCATTTATTTATTATTTTATCATTGGATTTATATCCCGCCCTCCCTGCAAGCAGGCTCATTATACTGGGTGTTTAAAAACAACAATAAACCTTAACATAATATGCTGGCTGAGCAATCCTGTGAAGTTATAAACCTTTACAGCATACTGAACTCAGATATGTGCCAGAATTCTGTAAACGGGAAGGCCAAGTAACCTCTTGAATGCTTTCCCACTTACTCGGCTTTAGTTTGGAATGTCACTCACCAGCTTTGGGGTGGGGGTGGGGCACTACTAATTCTCTTTTAAAGACAGCTGTGCGTGGTGTCCCGAGTTGTGTGGGTAAAGTTGAGTCTCTTATTCCAAAGAAGTCTTGAGTTGTTCTCCAGAATTTTAGACAAAGGAGGACTTCTCATGCACTTTTTTGGACCGTGTGATTGCAAATGTACAAGCCTCTGAACACTCTTGAAAGCAAGTTCTACTGACATCAACGTGATGCAAGGCAGATCATTTCAAAAACAGATTTGTGACCTGCCTCTTTAAAAAACAAGAACAGTAAACATTCAAATTATAGTATTAAGTCTGGTGCATCTGTCTTTTCTCCCCCACCACCCATTGGACATATAGATAGACCACTGGAGGCCACTCTTGCTCATCTTTTAGAGCTCTCACCAACTTTGATTTGGGTGCCCCACTTACCAAGTTCTCCAGTTGAGTGACTTCTGGCTGAAATGGAAGGTGTACCAAAGAGCTAATCCATTTTTCTAAGTCTGCTAACTTGCTTATCATGTAGTTACCAGACTAAGTTACAGTTCACAGAAGTCACATCTGACAGTGGTAGATCTGTTAATGTTTGATTACAGGGCAATACTTAAATTCTTAAAACTCCACAGGGCTGCTGAAGTTCTCTAGCAATCACTTCTATCTCACATTTTGTGTGCTTTTAAAGCCAATCACTCGGCTGCAGCATCTTTTGGGTTTGCCAGGGTGCTTCAGCTCTGGTTAAAGCCAAAGAATGCTATTGGGGGATAATTGTTTTCCTCTGTATTCACCTCTTGTTCAGACAATCTCAACCCTGGCTTCCTCTGTCCTTTCCAAAGTAAATCTGGTTTCATCTCCAAAAGCCTCAGTTAATGGCTCTGAGGGGGCTTTGCTGTGCAGACGATCTGTCAGGATGTTACCAGGGTACAGGAAATGTCATTGCTGTGACACTGTCCTGTAGAGATGGTGGCACGCTCACTTCCCACCCCCACCCCGTAGGCCTTTATCTCCCCCAGGAAGATGTAGTTTCCTTCCCAGACATTTGGCTGCTGTTCCTTCCTGACACTCCAGAAGAGAGGAAATGGGGAAACTGCAGGCTGCAGAATGAAGAAAGCTGATCCTTCCCAGAGAGATGACTGGCAGCTCTTTTGAGAGAGAAAAGCTGTTAAGTGATCCCTTTTCTAACCACATCCTCCCCCCCCCCCAACTCTACAGCTATCAGTGTTGCAGATCAGGTTCACCTGCACATCCTTAAGAGTGATGGGAGTTTGCCACCAGGAAAGAGGAGAAGGTGGCAGCCTTTAACCAAATGAAAACAGGATGTGCCTGTGGGAATTCATAGTTAATTGCCATAAAACAGGAGGAAGTGGAGTTAGATCAGGGCAGGAGTAAGGGCATCTCACTCTTACGAGGAAGTTGTTTGTGCAGTTGAAAGTCTTCCGTGTTTTGGTCTGTATTTTGTTATGGCATAGTTGTCCTGGTTTCAGTGTAATTGGACTATTGTTGGAGAGCTCCTTTCTGAAAAAGGAAATGGCAAAGAAATTAATAAAATTAAGCAAGGAGCCAGAACGGTTCGGGTCTACAGCACAGGTAATTTGCCAGGCCTTCCAGGTCGGACTGCTATACCGGCATGGGTGAGCACTGCTTCACTGAGGGAGTCGCTCATAGCCTTATCTTGTGCCTGGTGGTTTTAAAGAAAGATGGCCCATCCCATTTAAAAGGAGGACTCTGGTTTCCTGATCCTATACAGAGCGCTTGCTCATTTCAATAGCCTTGGGTATGAATAGGCTGTGGAGGGCAAGCATTTTCATTTAAATCATTCTTTTCATTGAGGGAATAGGTTGGTGACAAAACACATTCAAGTGAAACAAGTAATGCCTTGGTGGGTTTTTGGAGGAGGAAGCACTGCTCCTCCAGTGATTTTGAGAGCTATACCTTTTTTTTTTGCTTTGCATCTCCTTCTGCCCCCAACAACTTAAAGAAGTTATGCTAATTATCCAAACCAGACTCTAGTACATTGATGTGGGCTCTCTCCCATCTGTAGCCTCTTTTTGAAGGCAGAGTTTTGTTTTGTTTTTAATAAGGTCACCCAACATACGAGCTCTGCAGAGTCAAGGCATTATGTGTCATATCACATCTAATGTTTGCCATTTCAAACTGCACTTTGTATCTTAAGAGCTATATTAAAGGAGCTTTAATTTCTGTAGTAAAGGACAGCTTGCTACAAGAGAAGCCCAAAGAAAATGACAACAGAAGAGAACACCACTGGTGGTCACCAAGCCAGTTCAAGGAATTGTTAATGACCTACAACCCATGTGGGATAGTGACTCTTCCCTCACACAGGCACTGGGGCCCCCAACTTTTTCTTGCTTACGGACAGCCTGATAACCTAAAACAACTTCTCACCCTCTAAGCTGAGTCAGTGTGAGCTAGCTCACAATTTTTTAGCCTGCAGCTCACACATTTCTGCCTTAGCTCAGGAAGGATGGCTCCAGAGCAAACTAATCTATGCGGTAGCCAAATGACTCACTACTTTCATGCCAGTCACTCACAAAGCAGAAGTTTTGCTCACAAGACTCCACAGCTTAGAGGGAACATTGCTTCTCACCCACAATGATAAATTACTTAACAGTATCATGAACTCTGGTACCAAGGCCTGCAACAAACCAAGACGCCAACATTGCTCTCACATAGATCCTAGCAACACCATCAGTGGACCCAGCAACATCAGCCATACCATCTCAGGTTCATACTCCTGCTCATCCTCTAATGTGATTTATGCCATCACGTGTCAGCAATGCCCTTCCACCCTCTACACTGGACAAACAGGCCAGTCCCTTCGACAAAGAATTGATGGACATAAGTCTGACATCAGAAATCACAACATTCAAAAAACAGTGGGGGAACATTTTTAACCTTCCAGGACATTCAGTTGCTGACCTAAAAGCAGCAGTTCTCTTACAAAGGAATTTCAAAGGGAGATTAAAAAGAGAGACTGCTGAATTGCAACTGATTAACAAAGCTCAAGACAATGCATCCACCGGGACTGAATCAAGAACTAGGTTTCCTGTCTCATTACCAATGCTGATTTCTCCACACCTGCTACCTCTGCATATCACACCTAATGCAATCATACTTTCTATTGTCATTTGCCTGCTAATGTCATTTGGCATCTGAAATCATTCTACTTTCTAATATACAGGACACCTGGACTAATATTCTAGCTGTATCTGAAGAAGTGAGCAACGACTAATGAAAGCGCATACCCTACCACAAATTTTGTTAGTCTTTAAGTTGCTACTGGACTCTTACTGTTTTCTACTGCTACTACTGAACTCCTATTCTTTTCTACTGCTACAGTCACTAACACAGCTGCCCATCTTGATCCATCTTAATTTCTGTAGACAGTCAAAACTGTAGCCATTGCTGCCACAGACACTGCCGGCCATTGCAGGAGCCTAGATGAAGGTTCCCTGTGGAGGAGAAGGCCCCCTACCACCCTGATCACTCAAAATTGTATTAAAAGTCTAACATTCTGTTAACTGTCTATTCATTACTATCTCTATGGCCATAAATCTCCCTCCCACATTTTCCCTTGCATTAATCCTGTGAGGTAGGTTAGGCTCTAGGAATCCTAAGATTGCACTTC